GGGGGGGGGTCACCTGCTTTGACAGGCTTAGGAAGCCTGGCAGTCAGCTGGAGGGGGCACTAGTTCTAAGGCAACACTGTAAACAAACAGGAGGATGAGCTGTCAGAGCCCTTTCCTTTCCACCCTTGTTTTCCATATATTGCTTCAACACTTTCACATTTATTCATCTTCAGTGTGGTGTACTCTTTCAATGCTGTCCACAGTGTGTCTCTAGATTTGGCAGTGGTTGACACATACGGACAGTTAAAACACACTCACACAATCCTGCTGTAACAAAGCCACCACGCAAACAGGAGCCAAACTTAGCGATTTTACAGACTACAGAGGGTTTGAAATGTATTTTGGGTCCTTTTTTTATCTGCTATCGTCACAGGAGGCCATCTTCAGCTGAGTGCCCTGTCTGTGGGCTGAGAAGGCTTATTATCATCATCCCCTATAAATAACACTGATTTGATCAGCTCTGTTTCTGGCAGACATTACATAATACTCTAAACACACTTGTTCTCTCCGATCTTTTTCTTGCAGGTTTGTCCTAGCTCAACAGTCTTCAGTCTTAACTGACTCAAATACATGTACACTATGCTTTCTCTTTAGGATTTGTCAACCTGTCATCCATCTTCCTCCACTACAATAAGCATCACCCTGTCACTTTTATAACCCTCCCTTCCTCACCCCCTGCACTCCATCTCCACTGCTCATTTTCCTCGCTGACATCGCCCCTCCTCCAACACTAGAGTACACCTTCTCTCTCCCTGCCTTCGCCTGAGTGAAGACTCAGCTCCTGACCAGTCAAATCTATTCTCCTACACCTTCTCTCTACTCAGTCACACAGGCATTGTTATGTTACACTGCAGACAGCCTCTGTTCAGCACACTCCCCTCTCCTCTCCTCTCCTCTCCTCTGTTTACCTGACGGCGTGAGATTCCAATGCAGCTCCCCATCTTGTATTCCATGTCCTCCTCTGGTGAGGTGACTCTGGCACTACACGGCTGGCAGAGCACCTTTCTGCAGAACTGCATCGTTATCAGTCAGACTCAGCATCGCCAGAGCAGGAAGATCGGTGCTGGAGCTACAGAGTGAGTGTGTGTGCACGCCTCTGTGTCTGCATGTGTGTGTGTGTGTGCCTCAGTGACTAATAAATTCTCTGCACTGCATTGCCCGTGGTGCGCCTGTGACATATATTTTTCAAGCCATTCTTATATAAAATCTACATTACGTAAGGAATCCAACCAAATGAGTGTAAAAAAAAAAAAAGGGAGCTTCTGTCTTTCCAGCCTCATGTGCAAGCTTTGCCTCACATCACTGCACGGGTGAGCAGACTGAAGCACTGCTGTGGAGGGAAGAATTGCTCAGAAAGGGAGAGAGGAAGAGATGCGAGGCAGCATAAAGGGTGCCTGTCCCTTTAAAAAGACCCAGGAGATGGTGGTACATCATCGTCACGAGAACGAACGACAACGCACTCATCCAACAATCTGATCATGAAGTTCAAGCAGCCAAAATAGAGCAGAAGGAAGAATTACAGCAGAAACAGAATGAGGAGTCATTTGCATATTTTCTGTTCCCTACATATTGTACAATGAGAGCAGAAACATGGATCCTGATAATATATTTCCAAATGGACTCTACAAAGGCTTTTTCATGAAAATTTAAATTTCACAATCAAGACTACATGAATAAAGACCTCCATGTTTTGGATTTAGGAATTCTCTCTACCATCTACTATTTATTATCACTCAGGAGCAAAAACATTATGAAACTGCTTCTAGAGTATAGTTTCTCTTAAGCAGGAAAATGCACACATTGTTACAACCAGGCCAGAGCTATTTTGTGAACATTCATTCACAGATACACTTTATTCTTAAAGTTGTGCTTCATTGCTACAGTTCCCAACCTTTTAAGCTTCCGGGCCCTTCAAATGAAGCAGTCACCAGTTGCATGCCTGTAGGTTATGATCATGTCAACCAGACTGATTCCACCCCCCCTGCTCCATTTGAATCATTTTAGGAGGTCTGAAGAGGTAAAGTGATCATATAAATCCTAGAGCAGAGATTAGAGACACCTTAAAGAGACACCTTAAAGGGACACCTTAAAGGGACACTTCAGATTTTCCTGAGTGGAGTTGTATGAGGTACTTTTCCATAGTTTATTACCTACAGTTGATGGCGTTTGGCCCTCAGGTTTGGAGAAGCAGACAGGAGTACCAGCACAGAAACAAAGCAATGCACTGCTGTGGATGGGGTCAGCAGAAAAACGTATTTAAAGTGTACACTTCATTCCCCTTTTCCCTTCAGAAAGAGCAGTCTGACAGCAAGGTAAAGCGGTGAAAATGTTCTAAATATAGCTTACACTCAAACCGATATTTATTTTATTCGGTGGCTAAAATACGTTTTTCTTCTATAATCCTGTGTTTTTTGATGATAATTTATTCCCCATTAGGAATCACTGCTGTAAGGTTTTGGTGTGCAAACATTAAAAATAATTACTTAACCTAAAAATCTTTAACAATAAACTATTTTTATAATTAGAAAAATCCTTTTGTAAAGTCATTTAATCAAGAATTGATTGAAAAATGTAAATATTATTTATTAGCCGTATTAAATACAGTATATTGTGCTGAGCCATTATACAGAATAAAAACGATAAGTTTAACACCTGAGATTTACAAAAAACAGTACCAGCTTTCTCTTCTTTCTATTTTATTATTCAAACTTCTAAAAACAGTAAAAAAAAAAAAAAAATTAAAACAAAATGTGAGTTCAAGTCACCAGTCACAGTTCAGTGTGACCTTTACTGGGACTTTGCAATTGTGTCTTTTTGTATTTTTCTTTTAAAAAAAACGTAACACACCTAAAAACAATGTTCGGGTTTAGCCAACACAAAGTGGCGGGGTCCGTCACTCATTCTGCGTGCTTGGAGGATGAATCATTGTGTCTCTGATGTCGAAGGCTTCTATGAGCTCCTGGGAAAGAAACCGTGACAATAAAATTATGATCAAAGACACAAAACAAGGTTTTGTAGGGTAGGTGCATTGTTTAAAATAAAGCTGGATTAAATCCTCTTTGTTCAGGGCAAAACTTGCCTTCCATATCTTTGGGCTGATAGCGACGATGCACTGTTTACGGCTGCATGATCCTCCAGCTTCCACCTCCCCCTCCTCTACAGGTGCTGAGACACAAAACCACACAACACTGGTTAACTAATTCTCCTATAAGACGTTTCCTTTGTTATTCCACACTCAGAATAATACAGCTAAATGTTAAATCTTCTCACCTATACAAGGCAATTTGTCATTATCCAGATACATGCGTGCCAAACCATCCTGAAACACAAACAACAGTGTCACACCTGCTAGCAGTCACTAGAGGGCACACAAGCTCAACTAAAACACAAAAAAACTTCCGGACATGCAGCTCACCCTGATTAGAAAAGACATGTGGAAAATGTTCTCTACTGTCCGGGAAAACGAGCTGGGGTCAATGACAAACTCGAAATATGATATTGGTGATGTTGCTAAAGTAGAAAAAAAAAGAAGACACATGAGCAAATAATAAATACACAATGGTTAAATGTTAGTGTCCATGAGGTCGACTTTAAACTTACGATCATCTTGGTAATAACTCTTCAGGTATCCCAGAATCCTTTCCACCTCTTTCTCTGTGGCTTCTTGATGGGAGCTTTCCATTTTCTTCAGCTGACAGACAACATTAACGTGATGCAGTAAGTATCAAAACACTCTCAGTCCATGTTCAGTAATCAGTGAACATTGCCTTAAATCATAAAATAAAAAACAGCATTTGAAGAAAATATGTGTCTTCGGAAATAAACCTACTGTTACTGTCTGTTAAATAATAATACAAGACACGTTTTGAAAGATAATTCACCGATTTTGTCACTTTTGTAGGGTGATGGGATGTTGCTCATTTTAAGGGTATCTTAGATTCTTAATTATCTGACAAATGAGTTGCCTTCATAACTGTTTGTATAGTCACATGCATGTAGATAACTGGAGCCATGGAAGTACCTGAGTGGGCATCATCCTTTTAGCTTCCTTGCTGGGTGCCTTCCTTTGCCGTTCTATCCTTTGCTTTGGAGGAGGTGGCTCCGCATGGAACGAACCCATCCTGATGAAAAGACCCACAGCAATGAGTCAGAGACAGAAAATACTGCTGAAGGACAATAATAAACTAAGGAAAAAGGAATTATTAACATATAAACAGTTTTTAATTGTAGGCTTAATGTGCTCTCCCCCTCCTCCTGGGATTTTTAAATGTAAAATTTCATTAATGACAATGTGCCTTTGTAAGTGGTTGTTTCAATAGGCAGGCACTTAGGCCACAGCTGTCACGTAACACACTGAGGCACTCACATGTAGTGGAAGGAGGGTGACGTCCTGAAACAGCACTCTGCTCTCCTCGCTACTCTGTGCCAAGCATCCTGGGGCAGATAACCATCAACTGCACCTCCGTTCTGCTGATCGTCCTCGCCGTCTTCCAGTCTGTTCAGACCCATGAAGGACAACTGTTGGAGAAGCAGAGAAATCTCAGGCTCACTGCAACGTACACACATACTGTACACTACATGATTACGTTTTTCTGTTTCTTTTGCTAAGTTGCTCTGTGATGATAAAGTGCTATATAAATAAAGCTGTGTGGAGTTTGGTTATCTATTATTATTATCTATCTATTATCTATTTTTATTCTTAGTAGGTGCATTAAACTTAGGTCAAACGGTTTTTTTGCCTGCTCTTTAATACAGGAGAAAACCCTTCACCTCAGTCCTAAATAAAATTATGTCACAGTGCATGTAAATTTTTCCAACCAAAGGAAGAGACTAATGACACTAAATTGTGCAATACTGTAAAGAAAGGTGGACTTTGGTCACTTGGAGGGAGA